CCTCTGGGGAACTTTCCATAGTCTATGGTGTTCCACAGGCTTGCTAGACCCAGACTGGCCCACCTAAACCCAGCTGCAATCTGATGGACCTGGGCTTCAGCTTCCCCAGGCTCTGCCTTGCTGCAGTCTCAAGATCTTAATGACGGTTCAACTTGCAGAGAGACTAACAGGGATGTGCTCACACAAAGGAGTGACCCTGCAAAGAGGCAGCCAGATGGTGGCCACTAGCACACCCATCAAAAAGACCTCAGGTGCAACCAGACCTGCAGCTACCCCGACAGTATATCCCCAGACCCTGGCTGGTGTCTACAGACTGAGGTGGCCATGCTCTGAGATGGCAATGGTGGCAGCTGCAAACCTGCAGGCCCTGACTGGCATCTCAAGATGGTGGTGGCCATGCCAAAGCAAACCTGTAGGTACTCTGACAGTGCATTTCCAGGCTGCAGTGGAAAATGGGCAGTCTGCAGGCTAAAGGCAGGTGATCTGTGGGTGGATTGTTGGAGATTGGACAATGGGCAGGCAAGAGGTGGGCAAATGGGCAAATGGTGGATGATAGGCAGCAGTCAGCAAGAGATCTGTGCTCAGAAGGGTGGCGATATGCTGGTAGTTGGTGGGTGATTGCCGCAGACGAATGTGGGGTAAACAGCAGGGGATCAGTGGACAGTGAAGGCTGCCTTGCAAAGAAGTTGTATTTCCTCTGCTTGAATCTCTCTTCACGCACCCTCTCTCCAGTCTGCCATCTTGGATCTCCCTACATGCTATGAACCTTTTAAAAATGAAAAAAAAATATTTATTTTTTTAGTTTTTTAGGTGGATGCAATATTTTTATTTTTTCATTTTTATGTGGTGCTGAGGATTGAACCCAGTGCCTCATGCATGGTAGGCGAGCATTCTACCACTGAGCCACAAACAGCCCCATGCCATGAATCTTGAAATGTATGTTTACCATTATAGTATCATACAGACTAGTTTCACTTCCCTAAAAACCTCCCGAGCTTTGTGTAATTTATCCCTTTTTCTTGTCTGTTGATAGCTAGTCTTCTGATTGTCTTATAGTTTTGTCTTTTTTGGAATGGAATATAGTTGTGATCATATAGTATATAAACTCTTTGAATTGGCTCTTTTCACTCAGCAATGTGTATTTGAGCTTCCCCCATGTATTTTCATTGCTTTTTAGTGCTGAGTAATATTCTGTTACCTAAATGTGTGGTTTTATTTGCAGTGAAGGGCATCTTGGTTGCTTCCAAGTTTCAGTTAAAAGTGAATAAAGCTGCTGTGAACGTTAATTTGCAGGTTTTTGGGTAGATATTAAGTTTTCAGTTCATTTGGATAAGTAACAAGGAACATGATTGCTGGGTCATGTTTAGTTTTGTAAGAAACTGAAATCATTTTTTGTATTTTGGTAGTACTGGGAATTGAACCCAGTGGTACTATACCACTGAGCTACATCCACAACTTTTTTTTTTTTAAGATAGGCTCTCACTAAGTTGAAAAGGCTGACCTTAAACTTGTGATTTTCTTGCCTCAGCTTCTTGAGTAGCGGGGATTCCAGGTGGGTGCCATCAGGCCCAGCATGGCTGTACCTTTGTGAATCCCCACCAGCACTGAGTGAGAGTTACTGTTGCTCCACATCCTTACCAGCATTTGTTGTTACTCTTCTGGATTTTAGTCATTCTGATAGGTGTATAGTGGTATTTCATTTTAATTTTCAATCCCTAATTACAAAGGATGTGGAGCAACATTATGTGCTTATTTTCCATCTTTGTTTTCCTTGGTGAGTTGTTGGTTTGATTTTTTTTGTGTGTGCAGTTTTGGATTCAGATTTTTTTTTAATGTTTCAAAAGTTCTTTAACTATTTTGAGTACCAGTTCTTAATCAGGTATGTTTTGCAAATATTTTTTTCCTAGTCTGTGGTTTGTCTTTATTTCTTGTTTGTGTTTCTTTTTTTAAAAAAGTTTTTAGATACCTTTTTTTTTTTTTTTTTGTAGTTGTAGGTGGACACAATGCCTTTATTTTTATGAGGTACTGAGGATCAAACCTAGTGCCTCACTTGTGCTAGGCAAGTGCTCTACCACTGAGCCACAACCCCCCACCTTTTTTTTTTTCTTTTGTGGTACTGGGAATTGAATCCAGGGGTACTGTACCACTGAGTTACATTCCAGTTCTTTTTACTTTTGATTTGAGACAAGGTCTTGCTAAGTTGCTGAAACTGGTCTTGAACTTGCAGTTCCTTCTGCCTTAGCCTCCCGAGTTGCTGGCATTATAGGTATGTGCCACCACACATGGCCATCTTTTCATGCTCTTAACATAGTGTCTTCTAACTACTGAGCAGTTTTTAATTTTAGGGAAGTTCAGCTAAAAGTTTTTTTTTTCTGTTATGGATTCTGCTTTTGATGTTTTATCTGAAAACTTTTTGCCAAACCCATGGTCACCTAGATTTTCTCTGGTATTATCCAGAATTCTAATTTTTTTTTTTTTTTGTACCAGGGATTGAACCTAGGGTACTTAATCACTGAGCAATGTCCCTAGTGTCCCCTTTTTTCTTCTTTCAGTTTTGAAACAGGGTCTCACTATGTTGCTGAGGGTCTTGTTAAGCCAGTCTGGGTTCAAATTTGTGATACTCCTGCCTCAGCATTCTGAGTTGTCAGAATTCAGATGTGTGCCATGGTGCCTGGCAAGATTTAGTATTTTTTATTTTTTATTTTTTTAATTGTTGATAGACCTTTATTTTATTTATTTATATGCAGTGCTGTGAAATGAACCCAGTGCTTCACACATGCCAGGCAAGTGTGCTGCTGTTGAGCCCCAGCCCCAGCCCAAATTTTTTAAAAAATGGATGTTCAGTTGTTCCAGCTCCACTTCTTGAAATACTGATTTCTTTTTTGTATTGTCTTTGCTCCTTTGTCAAAGATCGATTGAGGGCTGGGGTTGTAGCTCAGTAACAGAGTACTTGTATAGCATGTTGAGGCACTGGGTTCAAATCTCAGCACCACATATAAATAATAAATGAATAAAATAGAGGTCCATCAACAACTAAAAAAAATTTTTTAAAAAGATCAGTTGATACTTTTTGTATGAGATTTTTCTAGGTGTTCTAGTCTGTTCCATTTACCTCTTTGTCTTTTCTTTCACCAACATCACCCTGTCCTGATTACTTAGGCTTTTTAGTCAGTTTTGAAGACAGGTGGTGTAAGTTCTTTGCTGTTATCCTTCAGTTTTGGGGCTGGGTCTTTTGCCTCAGTGTATAAATATTAGAATCAATTGGTTGATATCCATAAAATAACTGCCGGGATTTTGATTGGGATAGTGTAAATATAGATCAAGTTGAGAGAATTGACATCTTCACAATGTTGAATCTTCCTATTTATATATGTAGTACCTTTTTTTTTTTTTTTTCAATGCTGGGGATTGAACCCTGGGCCTGAGGCGTCCTAGGCAAGTGCTCTACCACTGAGCTATATATCCCAGCTCCATAAATGTATCTTTCCATTGATTTTAATCTGCTTTATTTCCTTCACTAAAATTTTACAGTTTTCCTCTTTGAGATGTTATATGTATTTTATTAGATATATACCTAAGTATCTAATTTATTTTGGTGCTGATGTGATGGTTTTGTTTTCTATTTCAAATTATAGTTGCTCATTGTTGGTATATAGGTAAACAATTGATTTTGGTATATCTACTTTCTATTTTGCAGCATTGGTGTATTTGCTTATCAGTTATAGGAATTTTTAGTGATTGGGAAATTCTACAAAAACAGTTACACAATCTGTGAACAAAGACAATTTTACTTCTTCTTTTCCAATCTGTCATTCTGTATACCTTCTATTTTGCCTCTTTTATTGTATTAGGGTTTCCAGTACAAAGATGACTAGGAGATGAAAGTGGACATTATAACATTGTTATTTTTTCAAAAAAAAATTTTTTTTAGCTGTGAGCGGATATTTATTTATTTTTATGTGGTGCTGAGAGTGCCTCACACATGCTAGGCAAGTGCTTTTCCACTGAGCTACAATCCCAGCCCATAGCATTGTTCTTGATCTTAGAGGGCAACATCTTCTGTATTCTCATTATTAACCAGATGTTATTTGGAGCTTTTAAAATAGATATTCTATATTAAGTTGAGGAAGTTCCCTTATATTGTTAGTTAGCCGATGGTTTTTTTTTTCTTTCCCCTGAGTACTTATTGTTAAATAAGCTTTTTTTTTTAATTGAAATAATTTCAGACTTATAGAAAAGATAATTCTAGTATAGTCTTCATCTGTTTTTCCCTAATATTAGCATCTTACATAACTAAGGTACTTTGTGAAAACTAATAAGAGTTTCTTACTATTTATTAACCAAACTCCAAACTTTATTTGGATTTAAAGTTTTTTTTTTTTTACTAATATCCTTTTTCTATTCTAGGATCCAACCAAGTACACCACATTGTACTTAGAAATCATAATAAAGAAAAAAGGCAAAATATGAAAACAAAACATCACATGGTCCAATAGCTTCATGGTTTTCTGAATTCCAGGAGGCCCTCAGGGGCCTGATTCTAGGATAGCAGGGACTCTATTTGTGAAGCTGGGACTAAGTTCTGCTTTTCTGGAGTTCTAGGATGGGGTAGTTTTTTCCTCCCATTTCATGTTTCTCCTACCTGTAAGATTTACATTTTATCCTTCCTTCAGTATTATTTTGAGGTTGCATTTTTATTAGTAATGGTACTTTTCTGGCATTTCTGTCCCATAGTATGCCATTAGACATTCTGTAAACTAATTTAAGGAGTCATATCCATAGACAGGGTACTTTAACTGTAAATATCTGAAGGTGGAGTTATGGGCAAAAGTATTCCATGCTGCATGGAACCTCAGTGAGATGGCTTTGTAGCTGAATAAAGTGCTTTGAATTTGGAGATTTATTATCCACTTGGCTTATTCTTCTTTATCATAACTTTTATATGTATAAATACATTGAATGAAAGATGATGCTTTTAATATCTTCTTATTGTTTTTCAGCATTGGATTAAATTGTGCTCTGGGTGCAGCTGAAATGAGACCTTTTATTGAAACCATTGGAAAATGTACGACAGCATATGTTCTCTGTTATCCCAATGCAGGTGTGTTTTTCAAGAGGGAGATCCATGTACATAAGGCATGGTAGATATTATTAAAAGAGTTTGTTTCATAGGTCTTGGTATATAGTTGCTGCTCAATAGGGATTTATTTTCCAAATGAATAGTATTTGGGTCTAGACCAGTGTTTCCCTCACAACCTAAGGGAAGAGTTTGGCCTAGCCTGAAGCCTCACAGTAGGACAGAACTTTGGGGAGTGAGCCTGGTCATATAAGCTACGAGCACCTTGCCTTTGGTGACAGTGCTTGCATGTGGACATGGCCAACTAGATTGCCAGAGATGAGGACAGGGAGCCCTTCTCTTCTTCACTCTTAGTGGATGAGCAGCAGAAGAGTCTTTGTTGTTTCCTCTTTTCTCTCTAAAAGATGTTCTTAGAGTTTCTTGAGTGTAAAAATTCCAATGACATTTGTAGATAATTCTCAAACCACATCCAGTTAAATATTGGTGATCTGTTCTGGGTTAGCCAGATTTCCCTGTGAATATTTTTGAGAGCTGCTCAGCTACTTAGGGCTAAAAATAATTTTGCAGCCTCCCGTCTCCAAATATGTACATCTTAAAATGCATAATAAATTGTATTTCCCACCAGGAATAAGATAAATGGAAGAGGATAATAAATAAAACAGGAAATTGGATAGCAGAGGGTAAAGTCTTAACTTGGGAAAATTTATTTGAAAGGAGACTAGTTGTTTTTGGTTTTTAGACTTTTTTTTCTTTTTCTTTTGGTTGTACTAGATTGAACTCAGAGCTAGTCAAATGCTCTACCACTGAGCTACATTATTAGACCTTTTTTTCTTTGTGTGGTATCTATGTTTACTATGTAAATATTATGTTCCTTGCTTTTTACAGGTAAGCAAAATTTAATTATCAATATAAAATTTTGTAACTTTTGTTAAGGTAGTTTTCAATAATGGTTGAAATATCCTTTCTCAGGTCTTCCCAACACTTTTGGTGACTATGATGAAACACCTTCCATGATGGCCATGCACCTCAAGGTCAGGGATCCTCTTTCACTTGTTTTTTTAAAAAAAGAGATAGAATTTTTGGTTTTAGAATATTTAGAAGCAGATTTTCCCTCTAGAGAAATCCCAGGGCATTAATAATGAAAGCATAGCTACTCTTAATTAAGGTGGTGGAGATATAGGGAAGGACTAACATCCTTATTGTTGATTGGCACTGGTGACTCTTTGAAAAGTCCCAGTGCAGGCCACTCCAAACTGATAGAGGCTTGATTCTTCTCTGAGATGTTGCTTCCTCTACAACCTTCCCAAGTAATGAATTTTCCCCCTATGTCCCTAAAACTTCTGGGTGGAGTAGGTGTCCTCCTGGCTCCCCATTCTCATCTCTACTATCCTTATATATATATATATATATATAGTTGTACATGGACATAATACCTTTTTTTTAAAAAAATTAATGTGTGCTGAGGATTGAACCCGATGCCCCACACATGCCAGGCAAGTGCTATACCACTGAGCTACAACCACAGCCCCTCCGGCATCATTCTTGTCTCTCTTGACATCTTTGAATCATGAGACTGTACTATAAACTATTGCACCTTAGTGTACTCATCTACTAACCCCCATGCCTCTTTTCTATCATTCTTTGAGTGTTTAGCTCCTGGCTCACTGACATTTTCTATTAAACTATTTCTGACTTAATTCTTATGATTTCAGTGTGTGGGTGCTCTTTCTAGCACTCTTGACTTCTCAGGTTCTTAACTTCCTATGTTACTTGCTGGGCTCTTATGCACCAGCTTCTGATCTAACTCCAGACCCATGCTGTCCAGTATGGAGGCACAATCACATGTGCTTATTGGAATGGTTGAAATGTGGCCAGTATGACAGAGCAACTGAATTTTTTATTTAAAAATTAAATTTAAAAGCTGATACTCTTTTTATGTATTATTTGAAAATGCATAATCTAGCTTGCACTCATTCAACTCAGCATATGTATAAAGAAAATCTTTAATTTCAATAGAAAGGCAAATAAATTTCCCATTGTACTTTAAATGGCATAAGGGATTTCATCATGCCTGAATTATTTTCCACTTTATTTTTACATCTAGGGATTGTGAAAATTTTGTATCTAAAGTTAAATATGTTTAGCTGTTGCTTTGGTACAATCTTAGTGATTCAGGAAATGAAGAAAGTAAAGGCTTTCATGCTTAATTGGTCTTGGTGAATTTAGGATTTAGAAACTTTTCCTGAATGCAGGACTTTGCAGTGGATGGCTTGGTCAATATTGTTGGCGGATGCTGTGGTTCAACACCAGATCATATCAGGTAATAATCACCTTTAAATATTTTAAGTTTTTTCAATTAAATTTATATACTCCAAATTTGTGTATTGAAGTCCTATCTTCAGTAGCTCAGAATGTGATTGTATTTGAAGAAAGGGCTTTTTGATAGTCATTAAGGTGAAAGGAGTGGGTCTGTCCATGATCCAGTTTGGTTGGTGACCTTACAAGTAAGAGGACACAGATGCACATGCAAAGAGAAGACCGTGTGGAGACATAAGTAAAACACATTCATCTTCAAGCTATGGGAAGAGGCCTCAGGATAAACCAACCCTGATCAGAGCCTCCTATCCTTCAAATTGTGGGAAGATAAGTGTTGTTTAAGTCACCTTGTCTGTGGTACATTGTTAAGGCAGCTTTAGCAAAGTATTAGGCCTTACTATTGTGAAAAAATTCTAAAATAAAAGTAAAGAAATAAAAAAAATTAGCTTCCATGTGCCTATATAATAGTTGCCAGATTTTTCAAAATTTTGTTATTCTTATTTTACCTATCCCCCATATGTTCCCCAGGAATATCATAGAACCAATCCCAGATGTCAAAACATACCCTTAAACAGTCTTTGAATGCTCAAAGAGAGGCAGCTTGTATTTCTTGTGGAAAGTACACACCTCCCTTAGATTCCTTCATGGAAGGAAAATGCAGTAAGGCAACAAATGTCTTGTTCAAGAGAAGTACCTCCAACTGACTCCATGCAGTGAGTGTGTTAAGGAAGGGAGTGATATGGGAGCAAGGCCACATGTATGTTTACTTACTTACCATTTTATGCCATATAGCACATTGGATTTCAGTGAAATAGAACATAGTTTGTACTGTTTGTTTTCCTTTGGAGTGGTGAATGATCATATGTTGAGCCAGTCATCTCACTGTTTAAAGTCTGTTTTCATGCATATAATGTACTGTGCCTTGTAGTAATGTGCTTTGTTTGACTTCTATGATAAGCTCGTAATACATACGATTTGTGTGTGTGTGTATGTTTGTGTGTGTGATTAAAACCAGGGCCTCCTGCATGCTAACCATGCGCTTTTCTGCTGAGCTACACCAATAGCCCCAATTTTTTTAACCTAGTAGTAGTTTGATATAGGTTATGGTTGGATCACAGATAATTTCTTTCTGTTTTTCAGTTCCTCTTTAAATAGAGTTGTTTTAAATGTCTCTCTGAATGTGTGTATATTTACATCTGTATATTAATATCTGTCTATATATATTTGATGTATAACTTAGATGTCTACATATTAATTTAGGGGGCAGTAAAGTGAGGACTTCTTAGCAAGGCCCTAAGGAACTTAGTGAGACCCTGTCTCAAAACAAAAAATAAAAAGGACATGGATGTAGCTTAGTGGTAAAGCACCCCTTTGGTTCAATCCCAATACCCCTCCCCCCAAAAAAAGACATGATTCATTAGAAGCAAATAAGGTTAAAGAATGCAAATAGCTAAAATAAATTTTCCCCTCCTGGGTACCAGGGATTGAACTCAGGGGCACTCAACCATTGGGCCACATCTACAGTCCCATTTTTGTATTTAGAGACAGGCTCTCATTGAGTTGCTTAGCATCTGGCCATTGGTGAGGCTGGCTTTGAACTTGTGATCATCCTGCCTCAGCCTGCGGAGCTGCTGGGATTACAGGTATGCACCACTGCACCCGGCCAGCTAAAACAAATTTTGAGGAGTAATTATTTGAAGTGTTAATAATGTGTACACTCCCTACTATGTGTGTGTTATTGTAAAAATGGAACCACAGGACCTCATTCTTTCCACTCCTGTGTACACCTTCTCATCAAAATTGAAGACTTCCTTTTGTTGTTGTTAAACTGTTGAATAGGCAGCAAGGATATATTTTGTGTGTAGGTTTGCTGGAGTAAAGGACATCTGTGAGTTTGGAGATGGGAGAAGAAGTTTATAATTTGTTTCTTACAAACCCTCATGCAGCTCCAGGTTCATGCCTCTGAGAATAGAAACAGCACAGCCAGTTCATAGCCAGCTGGATAGGCACATAGAAGTGAAGGGTCACAGATTAATTTTCTGTGGACTGAGAGAACTAAAGGACATAATTGCTGCTACACATTGGAAGTAGGTATATCATTATGTGCATAGTTGTGTTAATAGTCTTGATTTCATAGTTGGAAATTAGTTTATTTTATTCTGAATTAATGAATATAGTGTTTTCTCTTTTAACTTAGGGAAATTGCTGAAGCTGTGAAAAATTGCAAGCCTAGAGTTCCACCTGCCACTGTTTTTGAAGGACATATGTTACTATCTGGTAAGTAATGAAGGTGTGGTGATTATGATTTTAGTAACCATTTGTAGGCTGTATTTAGTATGTTTATTCTGAGTGGTAGAATAACAGAATTGTTTCACCAAGCAATTTGTTTATTAGGTCAAGGAAGAGTGCCTGTTTTTCTTGGTGCTTAAATGAATTCTAGTGAGGAATGCTGTCCAGTATGGAGACTGAACATTCCTTCAGGGTAAAAGTGAATAAAGGCCCAGGAGTGCCCTTGGTTACCCTGAGAACTCTGTGGTCCTGTCTCTACTGTACACTGTTCTAAAACATACTGCTTGCCACAGCCTTACAATGGTACTAGTTGACTCAAAATTCCAAACTGCCAAGGCTGACGTTTGGTAACAGCAGCAACATCTTCCTGGAAAATTTTATTGTTGTAATTTTCATTTGCCATGTGATCAGCATTTGGGAAGAGTCATGTGTTCATATTATTTGGTTTCAAGAAATCCTGTGAGTTAGACAACTTCTTTTTCAGCATGTATTTTCATATTCAAACGAGGAATATTAGTAAAAAGAATCCTCCTCTGAACTATTAAAATAACTTTGAATTTCATATTTATGACTCAATCCTTTCTTGGAGTATTAGATGGTAAGTTTAGCCAAAAAAAGTGTTGTTATTGTTGTTTTTTTTAAGAGAAACTATGCATAACACAAAGAAGAATTATACTTCATAGTATTTTATAATTTAGTATCTCTTTATTGAAATATTTTTGTTGCTTTTTTGTCCTGAAAAACATGATATAAAAATACAGGTAACAATAAGAGTAATATTGGCTTTTTTTCTCAGTGAGACCATATGCACAGAAGTAGCCCCAGTGAGTGAGCATGAAGTTTTGTCAATAAGCATACCTCTACAGTTTAGCCCTTTTTTTCTCTGTGTGCTTCAAATGACAGAGAATGAGGGCAGAAGTAGAGTTTATGATTTCTGATGGTGGCTTTGACAGAAGGAGGTGTGGCAGGAAAGTTTGTTTCACCTTAACTGAAGACTGCATCACTTCAGCTAAGCTCTCATAACAGAATCCAAGCTCTGCCAGAGTCAGAATGAGACAGCCATTTACATGTGGTTATTTTTAGAATTTATGTGTAAAAATTATAATCCTTTTTCCCCATTTGAATTTTATGCACTGTTTCTAAATTTTTTTAATAGTCATCTTCAGATAGACTTCAAGAATGACATCAATGTGCTTTTTAACTTAAGTCTTTTCTAAATTACAAAATTGAGAGGTCTGTTTTTGTATTAGATCCTTCACATTCATGCAGAAGCAAAGGTTTTATGTGAAATGCTGTTAGGGAGGTCACATGAGAACTCTTCAGCATATGAAAGTTGGCAGCCCTGTTTGCCTGTCCTCCAAACTTCTGGTCAACATAAGGATCAGGGGCCCCTGAGCCTAGACTGGGGATCATTACAAACAGGATGGGAAATCATAAGCTGAAATTGTGGAAAGCGATTTTCTTCTAAGAACATAAACAACCTGGAATGGTTTTATAATTACCCAGCTCCTTTGTAATCATCTAGTTCATTATTTTACTCTCCTTCATATCTGTTTTTTCCTCAATTGATGCTTTAAACAGAACTTGAAAACCATTTTCTTAATGATAGCTCTTATTGCAGGTGCTATATCACTGTTACCCAGTTTCAATTGTGTAAGGCAGATACTTCACTGCTTATTTTATGAGCTCAGAGACTGTGTGGGAAGTTGCCTGAGGTGTTCAGTCAGGTCAGTGGATTGAACTCAGGGCTCTTTGTCCCCAGAGCTTGCCTACATCCCTCCAATGAGACTGCATTGCTTAGTATTTTAAAAGTGATGATCAGAACAAAAGAGTTCTCAGTCTTTTCTGTAGGGACACTTTACCTCAGTGTAATGTGTCTATGTGCATTGTCAGGTATGTGTCCCTCAGTTAGCCTGAGTCAAGGGAAATGTTATCACTTGTTAGGAGATAAGGAAATAGGTGTTAAAGCCCAGCTGGTCTGCATTGGGTCAGCTCATTACTGGTGGACCGACCACAGTGGTGTTTGTCTTCCAGGTTGCCACCTGGGTCCTTCTGCACAGCTTGATTTAGCCTTTCTGGTTACAAGCATACATACAATGTTGGAATTAGGAGAGCTTGTTCTCTCTACCTTCAGTCTGTCTGACTATACCGCTGTGGCATAGCATGTGTGTATTGTGTGTGTGTGTTACTGGAGATTAAACCCAGGAGCACTTCTGAGCTACATCCCTGTCCCTTTTTAAATTTTGTTTTTGAGATAGGGTCTTGCAAATTGCCCAGGCCGGGTTTGAATTTGTGATCTTTCTGCCTTTGCCTTCTAAGTAGCTGAGACGATAGCTGTTGGTAGTGCTATTAGAACTGATAGGAAGTGTAAGAAGATGGGTAATTGGTAACATGTTTGCAGCAGTCAGGAATAGTGAGAGGATGAGTCTTCAAAAAATTGAAGCTACTGCTTTTGGGTCATCAAGAGGTATGAGATGGTAGCAGTGTAGGTTCTAGCTATTTCTGTTAATCATGAAGTAAGTTTAAATGTTTGAGAATGCGCTTCATTTTGACCTCTCACAAATCCTGAAATAATCCTTGATTCTAACTTTTTTTGCTTGGCTTTTGCCTCATACTCTTGATTAAATAGGATATGATGATAAAACTTTTTCTTCTTTCTCAGAAACAGTATGGTTCATTCAGCTCATTGGGGAATATTTATGGCATATAACCCTGAAACACTTCTTTTGAGAGTTCAGTTGTAGGTACACATGCAACAAATAACCTTTGTTGCGTTTGACTCTCCTTTAAGAAGATTGTGGTCCTGTTTCCACATTGGAACTGCTCAAATGGTTTTGGCACAGTGACTTCTTTCTCACTGAAAATAATTATGTCTGTCTGTCTCATGTCAACTGTATGTAATTTCAGGAGTTTTTCAAAATGCTTCTCCTTTTAAGGTCTAGAGCCCTTCAGGATTGGACCATACACCAACTTTGTTAACATTGGAGAGCGCTGTAACGTGGCAGGATCCAGGAAGTTTGCTAAACTCATCATGGCAGGAAACTATGAAGTGAGCATCCTCATGAGACCTGGAGGCAACTGCCCTGCCTCTGGCTAGTCAGCATGTCAGTGAACATCTTTCTGCCCTTGTAGTGCTTTTAGCAGAACTGCTAGGAAATGTGAGAAGACGGTAATGGGTGTTTGTAGCAAGTGGGAGTAGGAGAGGAAAAATCAAAGCTACTGTTACAGTATTTGTCAAAAAGTATGCATTTGGTCATAAAGAGGGACGAGATGGGAGCAATTCAGGTTCTAGCTATTTCTGTTAATCATGAAGTAAGTTCATATGTTTGGGAATGTTCTTTCATTTTGTTGTCTTGCAAATTTTTAAAAATATTTTTTTAGATGTTGATGGATCTTTGTTTTATTCATTTATTTAATGCAGTGTTGAGAATCAAACTCAGAGCCTCACATATGCTAGGCAAATGTTCTATCACTGAGCCACAACTCTAGCCTCTTTCTCACAAATTCTTCTAGGAAAAAGGAAAGCCAAGAAAGTTTCTATTCAATTTCTCCTGATCACATAAAATGCTGATAAGTGAGGGTATTATTGATCCTTTTAGATGTAGATTAAAACAGATAAAGACATAGGTTCTTGCCTTAGAAAGTTTATGTGATCATTTTAACCATGTTAAGCTCAGTCATATTGTGGTTGAGCAAAATTTAATCCTCATGGAGCCTGCCTGAGTCATATGAATAGGTTTTCTTTTTTTTACAAATATGAAGTTAAAAATAGAGGAATTTGGTCTGAACATTAATATTGGTTAATTTTATTATTCAGCTTTTCTCATTTCCAGATTTTGCAACCTTTAGAAAGAGATCTTTCAGAAATAAGTATCAGAGCAGATTTAGTTTACATCACATGGAAATGGTCCATTAACTTCTTTTATGGACTTGCCAAATACCACTTCACACCATACCCCAGAGCTGTGTCTTCCTCCTCAGGGAGGGGCTTGGTTACCTGGTTCCTAACTGATTGGTCCCCTTCCCTTCATTCTTGTCCCTGCTTACTGCTGCCATATGCTTCTCTCATGGTTGTCCTCCCCAGTTCAGAGTTCTGTGTGGCAACTTTCTGCATATGTTGAAGTTCACACTCTGGAGGCCAGCCTCCTATCCTATACTTGTGCCTGGTGCTTCTCTTCCTCATGTTCTGCTTGCTTCTGCTGCCGGATCTTAGCTCTTGTTTGCTCCTTCTGAAGTGCTGATGTCTCCTCCTAATCATGTAGTATGCTGCATTTGGTAGTATTTTGACTTACGTTTTGATTCTTCTGCCCTTTCTATGGTGTTCCCTTCAACTCTTGCATTTGATGAATTTGTCACTAATTGCAGGGAGCACTTTAGAAGAAGCTACTCAGGGGCACTTGACCACTGAGCCCCATCTCCAGCCCTATTTTGTATTATTTATTTAGAGACAGAGTCTCACTGAATTGCTTATCACCTCACCATTGCTGAGGCTGGCTTTTAATTTGTGATCCTCCTGCCTTAGCCTCCCAAGCCGCTGGGATTACAGGCGTGCGCCACTGTGTTTGGCTTAATAATACATTTTTAAATAAAGTTTTTCTTTGTGCCAGTCTGTGTGCTAAATGTTTTCTATCATTACGTGTTTACTCTTCATAGCTCCATGAATGAGCACTGCTGTTATTCCTATCTTTTAGATATGGAAACAGAGACTTTGAGAGAGATTAAATTACTTGTCTGTTGTTTCGCAGCAAGTAAGTGGTGAACCCAGTCCATTGAGCCCATTCCCTTCACCACTCTGCATAGTGGAAAGAGGAGAGGGATGCAGTAAAAGCAGGAGATGATGAGTGGCACGATTGCCTATTAGTTTTCCAGGACTCAGTGATCCCTCAAGGCTCTTTGGCTTAGTGGAGAAAGCACTGACCTAAGAGGAGTTTCAGTCCTGGCTTGATCAACTTAGGCTTATTTATAAACAAACCACTTTTTCTCTCTGAGCTCGAATGGGAGGGTTGGACCTTCAGGTGGTTATTCTGTGATCGATGAAGTAGATAGGTGAGGTATTGGCATCTCTGTTTTCCAGGTCTTTGACCTCTGTCACTTACCTTCTGTCTCCTCCAATCCATCCCCCAGTGGCCAGTGGAAGACTTCCCCTCTCAGATGGTTTCCTCGGTTCAGTCCATAGGGAACTTGTACTTTCCTACACTGTATGGCAGTGCCTGGTAGGTTTTTATGTGACTATGTCACATACTCTCAACTAACTCCTTCTAGATGTAACTCCTTCTAGAATGGGGATTGTCAACTATACTTCTTATTCTTTATACTATTTAAATCATTACTGATACTGAAAAATATTTTATGATTTGCCAAATGGATTGGTGATCCTTTTTCTCTGTGCTTCCTTGCTTTGCTGTGAATGGCATTTCATTGTGGCATGTGCCAGAGGGTATCATGCCTATTCTGCACAGAGACTGGTTAAAATTCCTATTTTATTTTCTTGGACTTAGGAAAATCAGGACAATATCAGTATCTACTATTAATTTTTCTCCTTATTTTATCACACTGTGACGTGTACAATGAAGATTTAAATAACAACAAAAAAGTCTCAGTATTACCAAATGTGTATTTTTTTCCAGCATTTCAGGAGGAGATATATAAGGCCTTTCTTGGTTTCCAGAGGCTTTAGATTATATGAAAACTTAAACTAGTACTTGTGAAGGCAGGAGGAAATGATAATGTAATAAACCACATGATGATGCTATTGAGAGACCGCAGGTCATTGTGGAGTGAGCAGTGTTTTCCAAAGTGTGTTCTTTGGAACATTGATCCTGCAAGATACTCCTTAAATGATCATTAGTGGGAAATTCTGCATATCATATTCTTTTATTGGAGGGTGTAATGTTTACTCATATGTGAAAGTATTTGATAAGCATTTCAGTATAAAAACATGCTGAAATACACTTATAGTTTTTTTCATGCAACTCCAAATAACAGCCTCCTATTAATACTTTGCATGTTTTGGCAAATACTGAAGAGTGACGTGAGTTTTGGATGATTTCTCCTAGTATCTTTCTTAAAGGAAATGGAGCTTAAGCTGGTTCTAAACAAATGTAGAAGAAAAGGGGATTGTGTTGGCAGAGTAAAAAGGCAGGGCTAGCTTAGAGGGCCTTAACCACAAGCTGAGGATTTTATATTTTTTATAGTGGGAAAACAGCTTTGGTGGATTCTTAGTGAGGTAATATGAAGGAAGAGGCCTGCGAGAAAGGTTCATCTGTGGAGAGAGCTAGAGAGGAGGACAGGGAACCAGGCTGGTTAATCTAGAGTGGTTGGAAACGATACTTGGGGGATGGTGGGGGATCACTTTTGTTAGCATTCTCTGAGTCACTCTCTTGTAATAATGCTTCCTTTTGCATTCCTCCTCAGGAAGCCCTGAGTATTGCCAAATTGCAAGTGGAAATGGGAGCCCAGGTGCTGGATATCAACATGGATGATGGCATGCTAGATGGTCCGAGTGCAATGACTAGATTTTGCAACTTGATCGCTTCTGAGCCCGACATTGCCAAGGTTGTGCAGAGTTTGTATTTGAGAGGTTTTGGTTGACTCACTGTGTCATTTTTCACTTAGCTTTGCCAGTTGTCCCCTTGATCTGTCTACTCATGATCTGTTTTTCTATTTTCCCACATTTAAAGCACAGTGGTTTCTGATTGTCAGCTTCCTTTCTTTTTTTTTTTTTTTGTATCAGTGATTGAACTCAGGGCACTTAATCATTGAGCCACATCCCCGGCCCTTTTTGTATTTTATTTAGAGACAGTGTCTCAGTGAGTTGCTTGGTGCTTGCTAAGTTGCTAAAGCTGGCTTTGAACTCATAATCCTCCTGCCTCAGCATCCCGATTGATTGTCAGCTTTCTTGACTAACAGTAACCTTTTTGACACAAACCAGATTTTTTTTTCTTTACTGTACCTGGGATTGAACCCAGGGGTGCTTTATCATTGAGCCACATCTCCAGCCCTTTTTATTTTTTTATTTTGAGACAAAGTCTCACTAAGTTGCTTAAGGCTTTGCTCGGTTGCTTCAGCTGGCCTTGAACTTGTGATATTCCTGCCTCAGCCACTTGAACTGCTAGAATTGTAAGCTTGCACCACCATGTTCAGCATAAGCCAGATTTTGGAGAGAGATATGGTTTTAGCTTGGCTATTTCCTAGGCTTCTGGGATTGGTCTTGAGAACTGATGAGTATTAGATTTCTGGGCGAACCTAGGACCCACTTTCTGAATCTTGGAAGGATGTTCCCACTCATTCCTGCTACATCATTTGTTCCCTGCTTGCCATTTGAGTTCAATAAGTGCTCCTTATCAGGAAGAGACCTTGTTAAGCCTATCAGATTAAAACAAAAGTATAAAAGTAGTTAATCAAGGGATTATATCAGCCCTTACATGTGTTCTTTGAAAGGTTAAAATTAAGATCTTCATGATGATTCACATCTTTAATCCAACGCATGAGGCTGAGGCAGGAGGGTTGTAGCTTCAAGGCCAGCTTTAGCAAATTGGCAAGGCCCTAAACAACTTAGTGAGACCCTGTTGCAAAATCAGAAATAAAAAGAGCTGGGGATACTCAGTGGTAAAGCTCCTCTGGGTTAAACTTCCAGTACCTGCACCCCGCCTTCCAAAAAAAAAAGTGAGTGTTAATTTTAGCATCAGTCTTTTTAAAAACTTTAGAGGGGTTCTAAAAACTAAAAATATTACCTAATTTCTCTGCTAGTAAGTCTGTGATGAGAAGTGATTTTTGAAGTTATTTTGTAAAAGAAATCTTCTGTGCTTTTTATTTTGTTTTGATTTGTTTTTTGGTGCTGGGAATTTAGCCCAGAACTCAACCACAGAGCTATACCCCTATTCACTTCCTGGTGCTTTTAGAGTTGTGTGTTTTGGGGGTGCCTGTAATCCCATTGACTTGGGAGGCTGGGGCAGGAGGATCCTAAGTTCAAGGTCATCCTCAGCAACTTGTAAGATCCTGTGTCAAAATAAAAAGTATTGGGGGATGTGGCTCATTGGTGAAGAATCCTTGGGGTTAATTCCCAGTACCAAAAAAAGAAAAGGAAAAAAAATTTCAGGTTGGACTGCTGTAATTTTTTTTTTTTTTTTTACTTCAGCAAATGCTTAGGTTATAAGTCTTGTGGCAAGCATTGAATTACAATCTTTAATTTGTATATTAAAACTCCTACTAAAGAACTGGATGATATACTGGGCACAGTGGTGCACACCTATAATCCCAGAAGCTCAGGAGCCTGAGGCAGAAGGATTACAAGTTTAAGGCTAGCCTCAGCAACTTAGTGAGGCTCTCTTAATATAAAAAAAGGCTGGGGTTGTAGCTTGGTGCCCCTGGGTTCATTCCCCAATACCAAAAGTAAATAAAAATAAAACCTAAAAAATGAGCTGGGTGCCATGGCACCTGTTTATAATCCAGTAACTCTGGCTGAGGCAGGAATGTCAAGTTTTGAGTCCAGCCCTGGCAATTTAATGAGACCCTATCTCAAATAATAAAAATGTTGGGATATAATTCAGTGGTAGAGTACCCCTAAGGTTCAACCCGCAGTACCACCAAAAAAAAAAAAAAGCAGAAACAAAAACTCCTTACTAGGTTGAGTGGGGTGGCACACACCTGTAATCCCAGCGGTTTGGGAGGCTGAGACAGGAGGATCACAAGTTCAGAGCTAGCTTCAACAACTTAATAAGGCCCTTAACTACTCAGTGAGACCTTGTCTCTAAATAAAATACAAAATAGGGCTGAGGATGTGGCTGAGAGGTTGAGGGGCCCTGAGATCAATCCCCAGTACCCAAAACAAACAAACCAAAAAAAAAAAACCCTTACTAAAAAGTTTCGCCACTTTTCTGGGTTTAATAGACCTTTTGAGAATTTAAGGAGCAAAGAAACTCAGGGGCCTGTTGAAAGTCAGTCAGACTTAGAGGTGGAGCCAGTGGCTTATCTGCTTGCTAGTGGCAGGAAAGCTGGATGCCCTCAGGGTCCAGGCACCCCATGAGCTGTGATTGGCCCTGGTTTCCATAAGGGGGCTGTCTCACCTGCTCTGTCTGGTCTGTGAATTATAATGATGACAGTGTCTTGTTAGCTGTGAAGGATTCTCATGACTTAAGAGACGGTTACTTAGTGCCCCAATCATTATGGTAATTTTCTCTTTTCTTGTTTTTGACCTACTACTAAAATTTATTGGAGACCAAGTTTTGGTCAGTTATAGTATAGCATACAAATGCTCTAGTAGCGTGTTTTCACCAGTAGGATCGGGACACTATGCTGTCACTGAATTCCTTAAAACATTGGTCTGGTATTTCATTGCATTTGACCCTTTTCCTAGGAAACCCCACATTACTTGCATGCTAAGAAAGAGAAAATTGGCAGAGTGCTTGTTTTTTTCCTGTTGTCTTTGGAGGTGTGATTTAGGGAATTTCTTACAACTCTGTTGAAACATGTTCCTTGAATTCTCCTTCTTAGTTCCTACTGCCTCAGACAGATTGGTTCCCTTGAAATACCCTTTCAAAGTACTTTGTGCTTCTCTTTTGTTGTAGCATTTACTGCTCTTAAGAAATTACTGTTTAATCATTTATCTTTATAGCCTTGGTGAAGCCAGGGACCTGTGTGTCTTAACATTGTGTGGGATCTGACATAGTGGTCACTTAAATTATTTATTGAATGCCTTAATTTAACAATGGGGCCTAGATCAGCCTCCATGTTTCATTTCTTTATACCCATTGAATCCTTCCTTTAAATCCTTCTTTTCACTTTCTTTGATACAGAGGCACTAATGAGAAAGAAACCTGTTCTCTGCACATTTCACTATTATCCTTTATTTTAGTTAAATACATTTGTTGAGTATTGGATCTACTTTTACTTTCTAATATTAAAACTCATTTTCTCCTCACTGAGGAACTTGATTATCTAAAGGGAAAACTGAAATCGAATAACTTGGCTAGAGGGCTATTTCCAAAGGACATGAGGCTAAACCTTAATCCCTCAGTTCAACCAGGGATGTCTGAATCTCACTTGAGGTATTTGCCTCAAGGTTAAGGCACTTGAAAGTGTGAACTAGGGCTGAAACCAGGAAAATGATCTTACTGATTCCATTCTGGTCTTTGAATTGTAAGGTCCTGGCTCATGCATGTAGTCTCTTGTATGTTGAAATTACTCCAAGAATGCTGGGCTTTAAGAACAAATGTACTAAAATCCTGTCTGTCTTTTCCACACATCATGATTATTTTCTTGCCTTTCCCTTAGGTGCCCTTGTGCATTGACTCTTCCAATTTTGCTGTGATTGAAGCTGGTTTAAAGTGCTGCCAGGGGAAGTGCATCGTCAACAGCATTAGTTTGAAGGAGGGAGAGGAGGACTTCTTGGAGAAGGCCAGGAAGATTAAGAAGTTTGGAGCTGCTGTGGTGATTATGGCTTTTGATGAAGAAGGACAGGTGAGTGATTTCTGTCTACGTAGTTGTACTGTGTCATCCAGGTTAGATAGCAGTGGGAGAAAATGAATTCTGAAGTAGCTTTATGTACATGATACACAGTACATATGTCTGTATCCACACACAGACGCATGCATACACATATAAATGTGAAGGTTTGGTATAGAACAAAGTCATTACATTAGTGGAGAAAGGTTGAATTATTCAGTAAACACTACTGGGACAACTGGTTATGCATTTGGAAGAAAATAAAGTCAGAGTCCTCTTTTAATACATTTTGTGCTGCTCTAACAGATTAACACAGATTTGATAATTTATTAACAATGGAAGTTTATTTGGCTTATAGTTCTGGATGCAAGAAGTCTAAGTTTTGGGGACTACATCTGGTAAGGGTCTTCTTCCTGTGTCATCCCCTAGCAGAAGGTCAGAGAGGGTGAGGGAGAGCAAGAGAGTTTAATTTATCTTTATAACAGACCCACTCTCACTGTAAGGAACCCATTCGTATAAAGACAACATTAATCCATTTTTTAAGAATTCTTATGATTTCACCACTGATGAAGGTCCTACCACCTCAGCACTAGCCCCATCCCCACCATACACTAAAGTCTACACTGATAAAATATTTAAATGTAAAAAGTTCTAAAGAATTTATAGGAAATTCTAACTAGTGTTGCAGAAAATATTAACTCAAAAGGCCAGAAAGGAAAAATACTTACATAAAAATATAAAACTTTATTATATGGCAAAGACATGGTACTATTTGTGACATGAGTAATAGTATGGGCTGATGTCACTAATGTGCAAAGAATTTCTATAGATCAGACACCAAAATTAGGTTGACTTGGAAGTTCATAGACTGGACAAAAAAAATAAGCGATTTATAGAAAAAGGAGTACAGATAGCCAGTAAGATACTGATACAAATAGCCTGTGAGAAGATACTGTTTTTTAAAAAGCAATCATGTTCATTTTCTTCAACAAATAGAAACAAAAGGATTGATAAATGATAGCTCTCATAAAATATCCCTGCCATGGAATCAGGGTGGGGCATATGGGAAGCTTCAAATACAACTATGGTTTCACTGGATGATCATTACATTGTTATGTTTTATACCTCACATAATTTTCATAAGCAAGATATCTTGGTATCTGTTCAGTAACTAAAGAAATTGAAAAATCCATCCCTTTTGATTAATCCTGTCTTGGAAATCTTGTAGTAGGTTCAGTATGTAAGGCTATGTGTTCACATAATTTTAAGATTATGATAGTCAAAAATTGAGAAAACTCTAAATAGCCATTACTAGGCAAATTCTTAAATTTTGCAGCATTTAAAAAGAATGAGTTGATGGAACCATGGGCAGGGGTGGGGAGAGGGAGATGATCCCAATTTTATTTAATAAATAGTGTGAACAGAAAATAAGCAACCTGGTGATAGCTTAGAGGCAGGCATAGTCTCATATGGGAATACATTAGCAGTTAATAAATGGTGTAGTTTTTTATTTCTGCTTTTAAAAAATTTTTGTAATAAAATCATTTTTAACAGAAGTGTTGTTAACTCTTATACAAAAGATGGAATTTTTTTTTTTTTGGTACTGGGGAGGCAGTGGGCACTCAACCACTGAGCAACATCCCCAGCCCTATTTTGTATTTTATTTAGAGACAGGGTCTCACTGAGTTGCTTAGTGCCTCTTGAAGTTGCTGAGGCTGGTGGTCTCCTAAGGCCCCTCTGTGGAGGAAATGTTTGAAAACCTAAATAAAATGAGGGAGAAGTCCAGGAGGCCATGGGGGAATGAATAGAAGAGGTTCTGGTAAATGGAAAAGTAGATATAAACAAGATTGCCTCTGCCATTCGGCATCTCATTCCCCAACTTGACAAAATGTGGACATCTTCCCATTTTAGTAAATATGGATTATAATTCCGTGGTTGCATTATATTTCAGTATATGCCTTAATTAGTCTATTGAACTAATTTTTTAGTAGTGTGAACAATGGCCAGTGAATATCCTAATTTATGCAGCACTTTCACTTGTAGAGAATGATTTTCTTGGGATCAGTTCATAGAAGTGAGCCAAAGGGTGTGTATACATTTAACATTTTGAGTGCACTTCATTAGATTGTTTGTCTGAAAAATTGTATCCATAGTGGTTGCACCAATTTGCAGTCCCACCAGCAATGTATGAGTGTACCTTTTTCTCCATATCCTCGCCAACATTTACTGATGCCTGTATTCTTGATGATTGCCATTCTGACAGGAGTGAGATGAAATCTTAGAGTAGTTTTGATTTGCATCTCTCTAATTGCTAGAGATGTTGAACATTTTTTCATATATTTGTTGATTGATTGTTTATAATGTTTTGAGAAGTGTCTGTTCAGGTAAGGACTATATTGATTGGATTTTTTTGATGTTAAGTTTTTTGAGTTCTTTATCCAAGAGATTAATGCTTTCTGGGAGGATGCTTTATTGGAAGTGCATTTGGTAAAGTTTTATTCTAAGGAAGCATTTTAAGGCTTCCCTTTGGCATTTCCAAATTGTCAGCAATTTGTTCCCTTGTGCTTTGTGACCATTAGCAAGTAAAATAAGAGTTACTTGAACATAAGCACTATGATCCTGCTGTAGTAGGTCTTGTAATTCACCTAGCTACATAGGGCCAAGGAACAGGTAATGTGTACTGCAAGTATATGCTGACAGATAAGATTCATGCCCTAGGGTGAGTGGAGCAGGACAGTTATAGGTTGGTTCAAGATTTCATCAACCTACTCAGGGTGGAATTCGATTTTAAAACTTAAGATCTGGGCTATGCATCTTCAACAAATGGTGCTGGGAGAACTAGAAATCCGTATGCAACAAAATGAAATTGAATCCCTTTCTCTCACCATGCACAAAGTCAACTCAAAATGGATCAAGGAGCTAGGAATCAGACTAGAGACTCTGCATCTAATAGAAGATAAAGTTGGTCCTAATCTTCATTACGTGGGGGCAGGCCCCAAATTTCTTAATAAGACACCTATAGCACAAGAGTTAAAACCAAGAATCAACAAATGGGATGAATTCAAACTAAAAAGTTTTTTCTCAGTAAGAGAAATAATGTGTGAGGTGAATAGGGAGCCCACATCCTGGGAACAAATTTTTACCCCTCAAACATCAGATAGAGCTGTAATCTCCTGAGTATACAAAGAACTCAAAAAGTTAAACAACAAAAAAGCAAATAACTCTATCAACAAATGGGCCAAGGACTTGAACAGAAACTTCTCAGAAGAGGATATACAGTCAATCAACAAATACATGAAAAAATACTCACCATCTCTAGCAATCAGAGAAATGCAAATTAAAACTACTTTAAGATACCATCTCACTCCAATAAGAATGAGAGCCATTATGAGGTCAAATAACAATAAGTGCTGGCGAGGATGCGGGGG